TCAGCCTCATTCAGAACACCCATCATCTACCATGTAGATATGATATGGTTTGCAACTAGCTCTTGCATTTCTTATGCATGTGTATCTCACTTCTCTTCCATTCAAGGCAGCGTACGGAGCAGGTGTGGGCAACAGGCAGCCCTAGGGTGCCTCATCACATGCAGCCCATGACCCAGATTCAATCGCCATCTACACAGACTTTGTTAAGAGTTGCCAGCCTTCCCCTTTTCCAGGAATCCATGGGAGGGGAAGGAGAGAGAGGGAAGGGGGGAAGGGAAGAAAGAAAGAAAAGCACGTGGCAGAGAGATAGAGGGGACCCGTCCACTTCTGGATCTGCTCCCGCCCAACACTGGCATCAGGCTTGCCCATTGCTGGTGTGCATCTACTGAGGGCATGTAGCCCTTGACAAAAAGAAGGTTGCTGTAAACCTGGTACAGAGAATTCCCAGGTAGTCCACAAGCCAGATGCAAACTTGGCTAGCTTCTGCAAGGACCTGCCTTATGTACTGTGTCCTGTTTCTTATGAATGGGCCTGGCCAGCTGTCCCCAGGCAACTCTTCTGACCAAATCACCATTCATTTTAGCTTACGTTGGGTTGGAAACAAGTGCTTAAAACATCTACAAGATCGGAGGGCTTTTTTAAAATGAAATCAGATTCCAACTCCCAGTCGCCAGGAATACACTTATGTTAAGGGGTAGCTTGCTGCTCTGATGTTCCTTCACTGGTGCTTGAATTACAGGGGAGGGGGGACAGAGGGGGTTAGTCCCCTTACTTTTTGAAGTAACTCCTGTTTTCAGAAGGCTACAGGGAGCATATGTGGTTAAATTTGGGGAGAGCATGTGAATTTCATTAAGGACCACCCTACTTATTTCACCATAATTCATGTCAAGCACTGCCCTGTACATGGTCATTTTAGCCAAACTGAACATTTGTAAATGTTAATTGCTCTAATTTATTGCTTTTATGAAATGCCAGTTTTTCTGCAGTATCTTTTTAATGAAGCTGGAGGTTGTTTGTAAACACAATCCATTTAAGTCACAATTTTGAATCCTTGTTCTCTCTTTATAATGTCCAGCATATAGCATACCCATTTGCTCAAAAGGTCCATGTGCAGGATGGTGGAGTATTCTAGAGATCCCAAAAAACGATTTGCATAAACATACAGCTATAAATGTATCAGCAATGGCATCCTATTTATATCCAAAAAGTAAATGGTCAGAGAGAATTTTAGAGCTATTATTGAGCTAAACAAAGACCTGGCATCTTGTAGTCGGGATTTTGGTGGAAATAACTAATTGAACCACCATCTTCCTACCATAGCATTATTTAAAATCAGGCATTATTTGTTAGCTATCTTTAATTGGTTTCCCCATCTGGTTAACTGATATTCTATTAAAAGTCCTGGTTTTACCTCTTTTCTCAGTATGGCTTGGGAGTTTAATAATGAACAACATCTATTTTTAGAATGATTTATTTATTCTGAGTCCACAAGCTGAAAAATAAGCAGAAATATGTTGTATTGTGTTAGATAATCGATCACTTAGATTACTGCTTTCTGAAGAGGTTAAAAGCCAAATATTAGTTATAGCAATGCACTGGCAGAAAACAGACATCTCCAGAGACTGGAAAAACCTTTGTTCATTGGGAAATAATTAAATCTGTGAAAAGGAAAATGAGATAATGCAGCTGCAGGACTGATAAATTTGATACCTATAAGCACTTTACTTCAACAATGCTTTAAAAACGTTCCCGGAGTTTAACAATATTTTTCAAAACATTTTTTCTGAATAAGTACTAGGAATGTTAACACTGGGGAGGGGGTCTTCCCTTTTCTCTTTTGTGCTGCTTATTGCAGCCTCTTGCACACTGCATTGAGGATGTTTCCCTCTATTGGGAGAACAGTATTAGTGCATTGTTTTTTTTTAAAACGTCTTGACTCACATTTGGAAGCACTGCTGATTTAAAATATATAGCATGCACAAGGTCTTGGGCTGATGACTAAGGCTGCAGTCCTAACCCCATTTACCTGGAAGTAAACCCTACTGAATTCAATAAAATTTACTTTTGAGTAGACATGCTTAGGATTGCACCGTAGATCAGTAACTGAGGTGGCCCTATACTCAAAAGAGCGGAATGCGCTGTTTTCTCTCTCTGCATTTCCCACAGAAAAAGTAATAAATCTTTCCTTTCTACTGTCCTAATATATCAGTATCACTCAGAATCTTCTTATCATCTTTATGTTTTTCTCTTATAAAAGGTTGAAAGGAGATCTTCTTATAGTGAATACCACCACATCATATTATAGTGCTGTTGTTGTTTTTGATAAATTGCTAAATATATCACAGAAGCACATGAATTAATCCAGTGCAAACCATGTTTCCCCTTTTCCTAACTGGGCTGGAGCAAACTTTATGCTGGACTGGACAAGTCTCCCTCCATCATGTGATTGCAGCCAGCATATAATTGGCAGCCAGGAGCATGATTTGGTTTTAGGTTTGATGAGGCCCTAAGCTACTGAAGGTAATGGGGCCCTTTATATGTCCAGCTGTCCTTTGTCAACAACAAATTTTTGTGCTGAATATTTTAGGGAGCAGGCTAGCAGGCGGGGCCCATTACTTACATCATAGGAGCCTACACAACACAAAACACTGTTGCTGTATGTAGGTTTTATTTTATTTGTTTTTTATCTTATATTTGGAAATGTACATCCAGTTTTTTCCCTTTATTTTTTTGGGGGGGGGCAAGAGAGTGGGGCCCTAAGCTATAGCTTGTTTAGCTTATACGTAAATTCAGCATTGTTTGCAGATGAGATGCACTCACTATGATCCAGGTCATGATGGTGATGAGCCACATGATGTTCTAGACATTATGCGAGGAGGAACCATGTTAAAGATATATCTGTGAGAAGTATAGGATGTGCTTCAGCCCTTGAATAATGAGACACTTTATGAAGACATTACCTAAGTATCAAATGTGCCAGGGACTTTAGTAGCCTCCAAATTTTGTTCAAGAAATCAATTACTTGCCTATAGGTAGCTGTCCCTAAGTTCAAAGTACTGGCTGTCTAGTCTACTTAAAGATAAGATGTTCCTGTTTAAGTTCAGTACAGAAAAAGCTTCTGTTTAATTTTCCTTATCTGTACCCTGCCCTAGAATGAAGCACCATTTTCTTCATTGGTGAAGAAAAGTTGCCAAAAATTGAAGCTCCCTTGGAAGTCTGGTTACCCATGTAGCTATGTGAAGACTTCCTCAGCTGGTGGAGCTGCCATATTTTGAGGTGGGCGTCAGTGAAATGAATGGAGACCCAGTGATATCCTGGTGATCAACAGAAATGTCTGTAATTTGGTTGCCATTATTCTGTTTGTATTGTTTGCATTCAGAAACCTCTCACTTGAATAAATTATTTTCAAGTTCAGAAGCTTTTGATGCTTTTCAGAAATGCCTTCCTTTATGTAAAAACTTCTTGGATGTATCCACCAGCCTCTTTAAGCATCATGCAATGCTCATTGTATCTCGTATGGTCCTGTAAATGCTACCCCTATTCAGTCATTCTTCAAAGGATTACCATTGAGTGATGGGGAGAGAGGGGTGAGTCTGTTTGACCCTCAACACCCTTTAGATCCTGTTCTTGCAAATCCCCAAACTTTTGTGGTGGAACATCTGTCTTTTTCATGTGAGGAGTTAGGCTGCTCACATGATTTAGAACCCAGGAAGATAAGGCTGCTTAAGCCACTTTCTTTCAGACTTGTTTCTTTATCTACAAAATGAGAGAATAATATGGACCACACTTGGCACAGGCTTGTAAGGATTACAACCTGAGAATGTATGACATGCTTTAAACATCCGCAAGTGCTATATGGGCATTATTATAGAGCAGTAGTGGAATGCACCCTACTTAATACGGTCTCTTAAATGTACCACTGTTTACTAGGACATCTCATTGTTGCTTTATGTTCAGTTTGTCATTCACTATAAATCCTGGGTTCTTACATGCTCTGCTTTGCTTATGTGAGGCAGCAAGTCAAATGGCCAGATTTATGGGAGCTGCTTAGGAACCAGGAGTGGAAGAGCTCCCACACCTAACCTATAAAGAGGCGAATGCCTTTAATAGTTTATGGGAGACCCGTGCATGAGTCTAAAAGCGTAAACTGATTTGGACTTGTTCTCTATATGAAAGAATATTAAATAAAAAACATTAGCTGTTAAGTGTCTCTCACCTCTTTGCACATTTTCTTCTTCTACTGCCAGTCCTTCACTTTCTCTCCATCGCTGACAACCCACATTTCATCTACACTTTCAACGCCTCTTTATTAGTTTCTTTATTGTTCCTTTGAAACTTGATGTGGAAAGTTGGAGGGTGGAATGTGTTATTTGGGATTTTATAACGCATTTAAAATAAATCACCACCAAGCATCATCATCATATCTTTCCACAGTTGGCAGAGGGGCAAGCTGAGAAAAGAAATGAGGATAGCAAATTATGGCAATGATACGAAGTCCAACCCTGTCACAAAGGGCTGTCCACCTCTCAACTTGTGGAACCTACATATTTCAGTTCCACTACAACATGAAGACTTCGCCACATGTACGACAAAAGCGTGCACTGAAGTCAGCCTGGGTAGCCTTATGGCACCCTACCATGAGTATTTGCAAAGCTACTTGTGCTGTGCCACTGCAATACCCTATTTGGGGTCAACCTCACTGCAGCCTCCTATGTCAGTCCACACATATTTGCATTTCCCTTAACTGAACTGTCTTTGCTGATGATGGAAGTGGAGTGATGAAAATCAAGGCTAAGGCAATGTGCACATTACTATTTACTCTGCTTCCAGTGCACTCCCACCACTGGTGTTTGAAGCCATGCCCAAATTGGGGGGGGGGGCAACCTGCTGCTTGTCTCAGGAAGAAAGATTCCATTGGTCACATAGGGAAGAAACTAGACCGGCTATTTGCTCACTGGTAGCTCAATCAGTCAGGATAGGCTGCAGTTGGGTGAGGGTGTGGCTGATAAAATGCTGTAGGCCTTGACTCTTCCTGATGGCTTACAAACCACCTTAAGGAAAATCATGAAAAGGGGGGTGAAGGATAAAGTAACTGGTAAGGTGTGGTAGGCTGGGCAATCTGCTCCTTGACCCATGGTAAGCATGCACAATTTAAAAAGTTATAAACTTTTCCTTTCCTTAAAAATAAAAAATCAAACTTCTAAACTGTCCAGCACAAAAGTCTCGGCCTATTTGCCTGTAATTTGAAAGACTTTAGTTAACCACCATGAAAGGTTTAGTTCACCTGTAAATTCCACCCACTTCTTTAATAAGGGGGGGGGAATATAGTAGCTTTTTATTTCTTAGAAGTGACTGGGAAAGAAACTAATTTGGTTAGACCTCAGGGTGAATTAGCTACCCTGCAACATGCAGCAGACTTCCATACCCATAAAGCATATGTTTGAGCACATGAAACGGGGCACACCCACAACTTGTACTCATAGGAGCCAACTCCTAGGGGCTGAGATCCCTTCGACACCCCCCCCCCAATAAAATATTTGAGGGAGCCGGGAGGGCAAAATTGCCATTCAAATGATGTGTGTTCCACGTTTTGGGATCGATTATGTGGGGCAGGGCTTACCTGCCCCCACCCCATATTTTATTCAAGTTGGCACCCTTGCCCATTCTGCATGTCTGGCTGGGTGAGTGTGTAAACTAAGTTCTCTGTTCTGGTGATCAGTGATTTCAAATCTATGCAATACTATAATAAAAGTGAATGTTTACTATGATTATTTTTTTCCGTCTTCCTTTTCTCATGCAAGATATTCACGTCAGTTTAGAAACTTACAATTATCATGTAACATAATTATAAAACATTGGAAAGGGTCCTTATTCATTCTAAAATATTGATAGGCTGCTTTTCTTTAAAAGCAATGTTGAAGTTGTTGCTGTTGTTTGTTTTTATACACATTGTTTTTAATAAAAGCAGCAGGAACAATAAATAATTAAGATCTAATGAAATTGTACATCATAAGCAGAAAACAATAGCATTAAAATTTTTAAATGACAACAGTAAAATAATAAAATTATATACAGAAAGCTGTTGTACACTGGGTGAGACTCCTTGGGTCTTGGGCAGTCTTTCTCATCATTATGATCTGATTATTTAACAAATTCAGAGATTGAACCTTGGATCTTCAGCTTGCAAAGTATATGCTTTTCCATTGAGCTATAGTTCTTCCCAGAAACTGCTTTAGGACATTAAAATCACTATAGCACAAACGTATGGGAGACATGCTGAAGGATTATGAGTGAAGGAATTCATGTATCACTTGTTTTAAATTTGTAGGATCTCCTTAACTTTACTAGTATGTATGATTATTTGAATTTTTAAAAAATAGTTAGATAGCAAGTAGACATTTAGATGAAGTTGGCATGCAATTATTTCAGCCGTTGGCTTAAAAACAGAGCTACAGTACATTGCATTAGGAGCACTGTACAATTCTCATAGTTATTACTTGGTAGGTTGCCTCTTGAGTGGCAAATTAGAACTCATTCAGCTAGAACTGTTGCAGTGATGCCTCTTCAGGGTTTGCAGGCCCAAATACTTGAAGTACATTACATACTTTCCCATATACTCATGCTTTCACATAGTTCAGTATTAGAACAGCATGAAATCATCTGTTATGTGTTCACCTCGGTTCCATCTAACCTTACACATTAATCTTCAGCTATGCTTAGGTTTAATCAGTACCGCTACAGTTTAGATTGCAGTCTTATGCTGCTGCCACAATATAGCAGAAAATGAACAGGTAGCACTTATACAGAGTCTGAGTCTGCACAAAACTGGTTTCGTTTCTGCTCAATACGCACTGCACCTGCAGCCAAAAATAAGGAGGCAAGACACAGATGCTTGGGAAAACCACACTTTGTTTAGCATATCATAACATAAATGTGCAATGAGAACTGGAACCTGTGTAAAACATAGGCTAAGGCTTTCCACTTCCTTTTGGCTTGTAGAATCTGAGCAACCCACATGTGCTCTGAGCATAAGCTGTAGATGTTTCAGCATGCCACCAGCCAGCCCCTACTTGTCTGAGAGAGACACACCTGATTCACTATCCCCATACATGCTAAGAATCTGAGTGTGACGTATGGACCTCAAAGGGGTTCTTATCCCACCCCCAGAGTCCCACAGCTCTCAGGATCCCCCTTTCACCACTACAATACTTGATGGCACTCATCCATGGTTCTCATTTTGGTTTAATTCCCACACAGCCCTGCTTTGGGAAAGGGGGCTAGCCTCATTTTTAGTCTATTTCACTTACCAATCTGATAAAGCAAGCCTTCATGCCTTGCTGCGGGTCTCACAGAAAATAATAATATCATTACTCAAATATGAAGGGTTTACATTGTCAGCCCTCTTTTTATTTATTTTGAACACAGTCTCCTGATATGGAGAGTGCCTTGAGGAGTCATGAATTTGTGTTCAGGATCCCATCTTGCTCTTAGTAAAGATCTTGCAGTTAGGACGCTATAATCTCCCATAGTCACTCATCACGCCAACAGATTCAGTGACAAATCACAAATTTGGTTCCATGGTATGCTTGCATCTAGGATGGTGAACCTTAGGTCCCTGGGCTAAATGCGGCATGACAGGACTCTCAGCCCAGTACCCAGCATTCCCTACAGACTACAACCCAACCCCACCTTCCCCAGGCCATACCCTCCTCAGGGTTGGGAAATTGAATCCAGCTGGTGGGGGAGCAGTCCTTTTTCTCCCCCATCCGCAAGACAATTTAGACAGTTTTATGCACTTGTTAGACATTTAATTCATTCAAAACAAGTCATTTTTAAATCTTTCTACACCAAGTTCAGCATGGACTATCCTATAACTTACCTCTCCCGCACTGCCATCTTTCAAAGCAGCCTACTGAACCATTTTCTAACTATAAGCTATAGAACCCACTGTGGTCCTATAATAAGATTAATCAGTATGTTGTGGAATAAACTGAAATAAAAGTAGAAATCATGAAACAGAAAAAGGCTTCTGTGCCTTTGTAGAACATATGATAAAGCATATCAGAAAGATGAACAATTCCACGTTTGGTTGTTTTATTTGGATTTTAGCTGAAGATCTAAGACTTGAATCATGCCGAGCTGATGCCTCTCTGTTTGCACAATGGTTATTCCTACAGATTTCAAAGGGCTAAATTGTCAAAATAGTCCCGTGGATGTGTGAAATCTAATCATTTTTGTACCGATTACAGCGCTCTTCTATTTGAAATGGATTTTTGAATTCCAGGGGTTGGAATTGCGTCTTTGACTGGCGCTTGATTGTTTGTAGATATTGCAAATGCCTTTGGATCTAGGCAAAGCGGTAATGGCTTCAGGCAGGGTAATGGCCTTGCAGACGGTTTTCCCAGAGAACTATATGTACTGGCCAATAAGTTTTGGTGTAAAATATGCTCTGCTAAATGGTGTTATCAGGAGGTGACAGTAAAGCCTAACTCCTCCAATGAATAGGTGACAATTCTGGTACTTTTGTTTGCATTAGTAATTTAGTAGCAGAATGGGACCACCTGGGAGCCATGAGAAGTCTGCCTTTCACATTGCTTTTCCCCTGTAAATGGCTTTCTGAAACAATTTTTAAACCTTAATGGAGGGAAACTATTGTAGATATGATTTCAGGGCTTAATCTGAGCCATGGCTTGACAAGGATCTGTTTGAATGCCAGTGCTCAGCCCTGGAATATATAATCAATGAATACCCTGGAATATCATGTGACTACTACTGAACATGTTCAGAGTTCATTCTTTTCACCAATGAGCCACCACAATCAAGCTGCCCTGAGATAGGCTAAGATAGGCTTTTCATGTCAGAGTACATGTTTCTTAATTTTAAGATGCAATACTTCTCTTTTTAAAGGTTATAAGTTAGCTACTATATTATTTTAAAGAATGAAATTAAGCAATGCATCTCATTTGCACAAGAGCAATGGTCTTCACATCCTTCTGGCCACAAAATATGACACCCATATGTCTTACCTGCAATGATTTAACATGAATACCCTTACCCTAAGTTTCCAGGATCTACTGTTTCTACTGAGTGAAAATAAATTAGTTTTGAAAGTAAAGCATTGCAATGATGATATGGTGTCATCATATTGAAAATTATTATCAGAGCCACCTTCTTAGTTACGGTTTGACCTTCCCAGTTTAACATTTTCCTCAGTGACTAGCATTTTCCTCCGTGACTAGGCTGTATGTTGTGAGCACAAGCTGTTTTATTTCTTGCCCTCCTGTAATTTATTAATGAAACTGGCAAATGCTCTCTTGAGGCTTCAAGTATGCTGATACTACTCTGGGACTCACATTGCCTATTGATGTGCCGGCTTGCTTGCTACCTGCTCAAGCTGTACATTTGTGAACAGGTATTGATTACCATTGCACTGCACTTTTGCGAAGGAAACTGGGCCTGTCTAGTTTGCCCAAAACTTCCCACCACCGCTCAAGAGAAAGTGGGAGTATGAAACAATCGACTAAGCATGTTTACTAAGGAGTATGACCTATTAAGGTCAATGGGCCTTCCTTCCCAATAAGTGGTTTTAGAACTGCAGCCTAAATGTCAGTTCTGCAAAGTGCAATGGAAACTTTCATGAAGAAAAGTATGCACTTTATTTTCAACATTTTCCTTTGGTATTTTATAGGGGCAGCCCAAATGCAAAAGGTGTCACAAATACAGAGGGAATTAAAAGGGCAATTACCCATTCTCAACTACATTTCCAGTTGTTGGATAGATGCTTAGCAATCCATCTTCCAAGCCTTCAATTATCACTGGGTCAAGTCAGATTCAGTATTTCCCTGTTTCCAGGTACATAGTCCCAGAACAATCCCAACTACTTAACTCTGGTATCACTTTGCTGCTCCTCACAGTCCTCTGATACAGATGGTGCCAATCCCCCCTGCCTGATTTTCTCATTGCAGGGAATGAAGTGAGCACTGGGAAAAACATGGCTAAATTAGTAAGTTGCTTTGGGGATGTGCGACTATTGGCTTGAGAAAATAAATAATTCAAAGAGAAAGTATATTTTCAACCACTTCAATTTCAGGTAAGTAGCATCCATCTAGATATTATTATAGTTGCAACTAAAAAACCCGAGCATTTTCTATGGTTCATTAATTCTGTTTCACCCCCTGCATATTTGAGATACACTCTATTGCGCAGACTGTGATAATCACCAAGCAAATTCATTTCAACCAGCAGTTTTCGAGAAGACTGTGATCAGTAACTTGGATGTCATTCAGAAAACCTGCCTAAAGTGTAATTGTAAATTTCCCAGTTTGTATGTCTAAATTATCTGCCAATTAATTATCAAAATAATTGCTGGAGCATTAAGATTTTCGCTCTTGGCTTAACTGTATTAAATCTTCCTAAATAACTTCTGCACGTCCCCACTCTATCAGAAAGGTCATTATAGTCACTTCAGCTTGCAAAAAAACTATACTGTTTGTCTGCTTTCAGATGTCACAGTAAACCATGGTTTATCATGATCGGAAGAAGCCTAGGCAAGCCTTGGGATCCTGGATTCCCCCCCCCCCTTAGTGCAGTTTTGCTTCTCATTTTCTTTTAATTAGCTGTGACTTCTTATAATTAGCTGTATTATCCAAACCTCCCTGATTAATTGTGATTAATCTTTTTTATTGTGTATTTTTTTTTATTAAAAAAAAACTTCAAACTTCATGTGGGTTATGAAGATGACTTGTTTGAACTAACCATGATTTCGAGTTTGAGCATAATGTTACAGTGGTTGAAACTGAAAAAGAAAGGTTCCTGTCTCCTTGCAGTCACAATGGAGGAGGAGAGAGAAGAAGGGAGAATACAGTGCCAGAAGTCATTCAACCTCATCCTTTTCATGACATTCCCGGTTTAACCTGACATCTGAATTAAGCCAATATGCCATATTGTCAACTGATTTATTCATAATCCAGTTAATCACCAAAAATCCTGGATGCACTAGTGTAACTTTAATGAAAGTACTTTACTAGGGTGGTGAAACCTCAGCTTATAAAGGAATATTCAAGACTGAGTTGGCTAATGTAAGGATTATGTGCTGTTCTCTTTCAATTGAAAATGTATTATTATAGCAATTAGAGACATAGGTGGTGCTGTGGTTTAAACCACTGAGCCCTGCGGAGACTTCTGGGTCAGCGCCATTGGTGAATGGCGGAGTTCCTCCGACCGGAGGAACGGGCTCCGTGGAAACTGGGTCTTCCCGCCGCGGCGAAGGTGGGGACCCGCTAGAAATCCCAGGCGGAGGAAGCCTGGGAACGTGGGGTTCGGCAGGGCACCAGAAGCGCCCCCCTACTCGCGGGGAATCCCATCTAGGGGCTCCGGAGCGAAGTGGGGTGAGAAGCGCGGTGCTACGAACTGACTGCTACTTTCACGGAGTGAAGCCGCACAGCCATTGCTAGAGAGCGCTGACTTTTTCCTGTGGACAGTTGGATTTAAAACAAGTACCCGTGAGTAGAAACGGAAAATTGGATCAAGAAATTGTTTAATTTGGTATCGAAGCGGGAAGGTGCAAACAGGAAGTCCGCCTTCCGCTTTTTTGTATATAGACTAAAGCAAAAATTTTGCAAGCTAAAGCCGGGAGCTGTCAAAAAAGACTAAAGTTCCTTCATTCAGAACTACTGAAACCCCCCTTGGAAGCAGGGGGGGGGACTCTGTTTAATCCCTGGCAGGAGAGGGAGTGAAGAAGGATAAGTTTCCACCGTCTCTAACCTGGGAACGGGGTGTCAGAGACAGAAACTGTTGGAGAGGTTCATTGACTGTGAACGTAATACTTTGACAGATAGCTAATGAAGAGAAACAAGTGGATTCTAATGTTGCCTTTTGCATTTTAAATAAACAAAATATCTGAAAAACATCTGAAATATCTGAAAAATGAAAGTAACTTTCCTTTGTCTTCAAAAATAAATAAATAATGGATACAAATAGTTTGTCTCCTCTAGAGGGAACTTGCTAAATTGTTGCTGTAGGATATTTGAGACCCAACATCTGTGAGATTAAGACTGTGGGAACAGTCTTTTCTGACCTTGAACAAAGATGAGCTGGGAGGGAGACTGGGTGCTTGCTCTATGCAAGACAAATGCTTTGCTGGAACAGATGCATGAGAAGATGGACTTGATGAATGAGAAAACGGATTTGACTGTTGTGGTTGATAACTGTGGACAAACAGGGAACATTGATACAGAAATCAGTCAGGAACCAACCTATGAATTTGTACTGACTGGGCAAGTGCAGATGACAATGGAGGAGGATGCGGCTGCACCTCAAATAGTACAAATGGAGAGACCCGAGGCCCTACAGGAGCATAAGCCGCTGTTATTGAAGACTGAAATTGGAGTGGGCCAAGGGGAGTCTGGAGATGAGGAGATTCCTAGCTTTGGAGAGATCTTGAAATTTGATTTTAAATACATTTTGGATTATATCGAGGACTGTGGGGAGTGGGACTGTGGGGAATGGGCGAGCTGGATGAAGGGTGATGGAGACAATTTTGGGTTGGAATCCCCAGAGAACTACTCCTCAATGAGAAAGGAAAGAAACTAAGACAGAGACCAACAAAAGACAAGGAAAAGGGCAAGCACAAACAAGATGAAGAAGAATTGCAGAAGGGACATGGAAGAGACTTAAGGGCCTCGGACATAAGGCTTCCAGGTTGATGGACTAGATGGAATGGACAGTAAGGACTGACACGACCCGAGACCAGGAAGAAGAGACGCTGGATGATGATTGAAAGAGAATTTATAATGGAAATTTTGTATTTTAGAATCAGCTTAATGAATATTAGGGAAAATGTGGGAATGAAACTATACGACTCTAGCAGAAATGTTATCAGGAGCTATGTATATTTGAAAACTAAGATTTAAGTCTTAAGGTACATAGGGGTAAGATAAGGTTAAATAAATTAAGATAATTTGAATAACAGAATATGGGGAAAGATGGAAAGGATTTGTTGAGTTAATTATTAGGTTAAATTGTTAAGATAAATTTTATAACAAAAATTGAGAAAGATGGAAAGAATTTGCTGAAATAATTATCAAACTAGAATACAAAAAGGGAGGTGTGAGGAGGTCAATGAAACAAGCAAATGGAAATTATGGATATGCAATTTGGGATTTGTGTTTTTTTTCTCCTTTTTTTTCTTCTTCTTTATTTTCTTTTGCTGTATTGTCGTATATTTTGTGCTTTTCTCTTTTTTATTTATTTTTATTTTTTTGTATTGTAGTGTTGTTGTTTTTTATTTTTTATTTTTCTTGTAATCCTGAAATTATCAATAAATATTATTTTCTAAAAAAAATAAACCACTGAGCCCTGCGACAGAGTGAGCTCCCATTGCTCTGTCCCAGCTTCCACCAACCTAGCAGTTCAAAAGCATACCAGTGCAAGTACATAAATCGGTACCGCTGTGGCAGGAAGGTAAACGGTGTTTCTTTGCGCTCTGGTTTCCGTTACGGTGTTCCATCGTGCCAGAAGTGGTTTAGTCATGTTGGCCACATGACCCGGAAAGCTGTCTGTGGACAAACACCGGCTCCCTCGGCCTGAAAACGAGATGAGTGCCACACCCATAGTCGCCTTTGACTGGACTTAACCGTCTGGGGTCCTTTACCTCTTTTATTATAGCAATTGCATTCACTTTTTCAGTTGCTTACACTTTCTGAGTTATCATAAGCATGAATTAATTTCTGAAATTTGTTGCCCTGAGATGTGATAACTATTACCTTAGATGGATTTAAAGGAGATTATAGACAAATTCATGGAGGACACAACTATCAGTAGCTGAGGAACTATGCTGAAGAGAGCCATTTCCTTTATACTCCACTTATGGACATCCCAGAGGCAACTGGTTGGCTGCTTTGGGGAACATGATGCTGGAAAACTGGATCATTGACATAGCAGGTCTGTTTTTATTTTGCAAAATAGGAATGTTGATGCATCCATACATAGCAAATGTGCAAATCAGCAAAACACCATACACAAATAATCTGGAGTCAATCACAATATGATTACAACTAGTTTGTTCCCTTCCTATTTGCATGCTTACTAGCCATGGTGGTTGTGTTCTACCTCCACTGATAGAGACAGTATGCGTCTTAATGCCAGTTACTGGAAAACTCATGTAGGGAGAGTATTGTTGCACTCAGCTTCTTCTTGTGGGCTTCCCATATGTATCTGGTTGTCCATTGTGAGAACAGAGTGCTAGACTAGATGGACCTTTGACCTAACCCAGCAGGTTATTCCAATGTCTTAGATGCCTCATTATGCAGTAGAAAGGAATATGTGAACAAATTAAAGGTACCAGAACAAACTGTGCGTGCTCAAATAAATAAATTATAGAAATTATCCCAGTTCAACTGAAATTCAAAATGAATGGAACGAAGGGGAGAACAATGAGGAATACAATGCAGGAAATCCTCTCATGTTGACATTTTGTTAGAATTTAGATAATTGTTTGTTTGCCAGGCTGAAAGATACGTTTGAGATGATAGCCTGAGGCATGGATTGGGGGGGGGTGTAGAATTTGGTGTGAAAACAGTTTTCCTGGCCTCTCTCTCTCCCCCCCTACACTTTCACTTCCCACAGCAAAAATATGCAGATGTTGCAAGCCAAGATATATAAAGAAACCACCGCATTCTATTTATGAACTAAAAGACGGAAAGAAGGCAGATGTACTCAATGCTTCTTTTGCGTAATTCTCTCTGGCAGGGGAAATCTGGAGCTTCTTTGAAAACAAGTAATTCTCTTTCTCAACTGCACGTCTAAGTTATAAAATGGAATGGTTTTTTGGTTTTTTTAAAAGCACTGTTAATGGTTAGGCTAAAATATTAAAAGCACAAGTAAAGTCCTGCTGGACCTGACCAAAGGCCCATCCTTTTCTCCCAGTGGCCAGCCAGGTGTCTATGGGAAGCCCACAAACAGGACCTATTATTTAGGTCTTCTGCATTTCTTTGAGTTTCAAGTTACAGAAGAAATTCCTCACTGTGTTTTGAAGTCTCACTGGATGATCTACCCCGCATCAAAAATTCAGAAGGTGGGGTGTTTACTGAGAAACTGGAAAATATTTTATTCTTTTAAACTGTCAAGAGAATGGTCTTGTTTTGGGTTTGTTTCTGTTTGGAGGACAAAATTATTCCATATATCTGGGATCATTGGTAAAACAACAGATATAAAGCTGGTATTCATTAACATGTTTGAGAAACTAATATTGCACAGGATTCCATCAAGGGACAGACTACGGCTAAGAAGGGAATCTATTATTTGCAACTATCTGGACATCAATGAAAAAAGAGGTATTTTTAAGCAAACTTTCTGCAGTATTTATTCCTACGTCTAGTAGGAGCTGTCTATGCCAACAAAATCCATTAAGGTGAATCCATCAGGATATTCACAGAAGAAGCTTGGTTTATACTGACCTAAATTACAGGGCTTTTATATAATATATACCTCCATAAATTTTATGGAGTAGTGGTATTATCAGTATTTATTAGATTACTACTCTTATTCATGTTTCTTCTTTTGATGCTGCTCCTAGTAACTCAACTAATAGTAGTATTACTAGTACTTGTAGTAGTAGTATCAGCAGAAGCATTATCAGTATGTATTAGGGGTGGGGAACATTTTGGCAGGTATATAGAGTTTTAGATCCACCCCCCCCCCAGCCATGCATGTATAGTTATTGTAAGCGAGGACATTTGAATGTTATTCTTGTCAAAGCAAGAAGAAAAGGCAGCATATTGCAAAAAGTATCATTGGATTTCATAAGACTGTGTTATGTTGTAATGGGATCATGCACCTTACTCAGTGTAACTATTAATGCAGATTGAAGGGAAAGGTTGCTCACACATGCCATACTGTTCACTCACACATACTTTTTATTATCTCAATAGCATTTTTCCAATTGCTGCATGAGGAACTGCATGCTTAGCACAGGCCCTTTTATGAGCTTGGAGAGCTATATTGTATAAGAATAATTTCCTCTAATATAAGCAGCTATTCTCTTATCACAACAGTGCATGACAATTTTTATTTAAAATGTATTGCTTCATATTTGCCATGTTATGATAGCGCAAACCTGTGTGACCTCTTCACATCTCTCTCATTTTTCTCATATGATATAGCTTCTGGCTCTTGAAGGAACAGTTTTTTGATAAGAGCATATAAATACGGGCTAAAAAAATTACCAATAATAAATGTGTGTCTCAGACTGGAATATTTATTGTATTTACAGTGCTCTTGACCTTTGAAAGTGCAAGATCTGTTTTTGAACGTTCCACATGCCACCATCGGCCTAAGAACAAGCAATAAAATATAGAAAAAATTAAATCATCTCCTCCACCCTGAGATCTACAGAATGCTTTAACAATTCCAGAGACATGCCCTCTTTTTGGGTAAGAAAATGCTTCAAGTGATTCTATCAAATTAAGACTGCAATCCTAACCAGGAAGTCAGTCCAAATGAATTCAGAGGTGCTTACTCTCATGTAAGTGGGCTTAGGATTGGAGCCTAACACAACATCCAAAAACTAATTGAACCAAGTTTTGGGGGTGGGGGTGTCCCTCCACCCAGCTCTCCCAGCCACTAAACTTGTAAGAGTATGGGGTGACTACTGCCCTGAGAAGCCCAGGTTGGAGAGAATTTTAATTGGACCCTAAGTCATACGCAGAGTACCTCCACTGATTTCAGTGGGTCTGCTCTGAGTATTGCAGTGAAATGTATCCCTTTGAAGCATTTTAAACATGTTGGCACGGCAAATGCAGCTGTGAAGCACAATAGTCCTTCCAGGCACCAGAATGCATTCCCTTCAGAATGAAGGTCAGAAAGCCTTTTCAAAAGAAAATATTTCTGTTACATTTTTTCCTACATTCGCAAGTCATGGAACACCTTCCAAACTTCTGCAGAGCAGTCTGGAGATTTCTATACGAAGATGAAGACTGTGAAAGACCAGGGAACTCTGTACAAATTTACCTGGTAGTAAGCTTTATTGAACCTAAGGAGATTACTGAAAATGCCCCGTCATGTATCACCATCCAGATAGCTTTAGCCACTGGTGTGACAACAAGCAGGGCACCCCCAGCTGGTAATCAGGTGGGGCAATACTGGAAAAGACACTTTTCTTCAGGTACAGTGCTTGAGTCACAGGTTGTTCAGTGCTTTGTATACTGGGCAGAATAGCTCACAGACAAGACAGTGCAAGATTGGAGGATTGGATTAATATCACTTCCCCTCACTACCCCAGATAATAACAGGGGAAGTAGCATTCTATATATTTTGAGATACTGCTGCTATAAGAAGTGCTAATCTTTCTTAATTGATTTCCCCCTATTTGGGCTTCTATATTTCCATGTTTCTCACAATAAGATTACATTTACAATCTTTAAAATCCCTTTGTTATTTTTCTGAGCCATGCTATTAGACCAGCACGAGCTATGAATTTATGCTGTGTTACCAGCACAAATGATAATTACTTATCGATGTAAAAATTAACAGTTTCCAAGGAAATACTTCTGCACCCTTATTAGTTCACTAATTGCCTACCTAGTTTAGACTTTGTATGGCACTTCATAATATATTCCACCCTCTTTACAACACCCTTCAGCCTAGCTAAGTGCTTGCAAAGCTGTAAAGAGGTCTTGTTATTTTTAATGAGGTCAAGGGCATTTTAAAAAGCACTTTAATGCTATGCAGCAGTGTGCAATAGCTTGGCGTTATGGTGCAGTATTTAACTAACAGGTCTATGAAGGTGGTCTCAGCTATCAAACCAATTAATAAAATCTGATAATATTGTGAAACAACTCAACAGCAGCCAAATGTAAACAAAACAGGTAAATAACACAAAAGAAAAGCAACCTATAATGACACTTTATTTTTGGAGCAGTGATTTTTAGCACACTTCATATGCAGGGCAGCTTAGCATTTCAGAAAAGTGTTTGAAATTAGTCAAATGCTTCAAGCAATTCATGAAAGTATGCATTATAAATTATAAGTCTCTTTCATTTTCTTTTCTAGGTTTTTCTAGTACTGGCCTTGAGCAAATGGCAGCTATGAAAATGAGGAAACAAACAGTTCAGCTGGTCCCTTGTTTTTCCTCTGTGCTCTTTGCGTCTGGGCAATGTCTTCACTCATGATTTTGACTACCCTGTCTTTATGCAGCAGTTGTATTCAATGCAGTCCTATAAGAGTACACCCACGAAAATTAATCAACCTAAATTAGTCATGCCAGTTAAATGAAATGTCTGTTAAATGCAGTGCAGGGTTTTGGATTAGATGGGTCTTGGGGTCCATTCCAACATTACAATTCTTTGAAAGGTGGGCAGGTGGGGAGATAAGTGGAAACCTCCTGCTTCCTTGTGCATGGTCCAATGAAATAGACCAATGAAGAGTACCAAAGTTACCAGGAGAAGCTTTACACTGGTCATTTCTGCCAGCTGTAGGTTGAAGGCTCTTGATCTCACATAGAATCATAGAGTTGGAAGGGACCCCAGGTCATCTAGTCCAACCCCCTGCAATGAAGGAATCTCAACTATAACATCCATGACAGATGGCTATCCAGCCTCTGCTAAAAAAAACTCTTAGATGTAGGTGAGTCCATAACTTCACGAGGGAGTCCATTTCCCTGCCAAACAGCACTTACTGTCAGAAAGTTCTTCCCCATAACATCCACAGCAGTCGTAGATGCCTGTGTATAGTCACAGTGCAGCTGAGGAAATATATAAGTTCTGAAATTAAAGCACACATGCAAGCAAACCGGAATTAAATTGCAGCTGATTTTCATATTAATAGAAAATTTAGCCCAGACAGAAAAGGTTAATTTGCTTAGAAGTGATCATGTCTCAGTTGCTAATCTATGGCTGACTCATATGCTTCAAGGCAAAAGTGATTATACGAATGCAGAGAAATATTATAATTTAGCATAACAATAAGACCACTATTGAAAATTATTCAAATGTTTGGAATTTGGGTTTGGGGGTTTTGTTTTATTTTTTAAGTCAAGAGTTGGCAACATCTAAAAGCCATTTAATCATTGCTGCACTTAGTAATGTGATGTGGTGGTGCTAAGAATTGGGGTTAAGTTGGCCTGAACTAATGGGAACTGGGCTGCCACCTTTTGCCTTACAAACCAACATGTGACCTCAATAAAACTGATGGGGATGCTCCATTCTTCTATATTACATTATATTGACATCTAGTGGGAGTGATATAAGAAGCAAGTATATTGCATGCTTTATCATAGCAATCCATAAAATATCATTGGAAGCTAAGCCATGTCATGAAAAAAGGATGAGGAGCTAGTGGCTTGCTTCAGGCCATCATGAGGACACATGACAGAAGAAAGACCTGAATCAAGGATTTTAGGATTTTCTGCTCACACACTTTTCCACTATTTTACACCAACCCAAATGGGGGGGGGGACAGTAGATGAATATTTCTGCCCTTACAAAAACCTGTTGCATGGAAGCAACAATATTCAATTATGTGTGTTTGAGAATGAAATTATAATTGACTTATAAAATACCTGCCATTATCACTATTGATTTGGTAATAGATGTTGCTGTCTGGTGGGTGGTTCCATCTGCCCCATCACATCCCCTGCTACTGTGAAGTAATGTGCCTCTAATATAGATTGCATGGGGAAGAGATGCTCTTTCATGGCTTGGGGATCCCAAGCCGTTTAGAACTTTAAATGTGCATTCGAATGTAAGTCTAGATGAGAATGGACAGACATTAAGAACCACCTGTCTTCCACCCTTGGAAACATGCTAAAGAAACACATCAAGTTCCATAACCTGTTTATCCGCAAGCTGCTCTGAGAGTGGCTAACAAATTATTTAAATAAACAGGCAAATATAGATTGTTTTACAAAGGAGATTCTCCAAAGTTCAAATTCTGAAAGTACAAAATTATAAGAATGCATCAAACACCAGGTTTCTGCAGTCATGCCTATCGAGACGTAATTGATATTCTGTCAGAAGTAATGTCATATCTGATCAGTAACAAGTGTTTGCACAGCAGTTCTTCCTCGTGTCACCACGGCTGAATCAAACGACTGGAAAAATTGAATGACAGAGATCTTATATTTTCATCAAAATGTATATTTCCCATCAACTGTTACATTTCTTCCAGGTGATTGCTACTGTGGCGGTGAATGTGATAGCAAGACTTTGCTGTAGATCAGATGAAAAGATGCATACCCTCCAACATTTCCCCAATGAAAACAGGGATGTTCTATTACAATTATTATTATTATTATTATTATTATTATTATTATTATTACTATTATTTACCCTGCCCATCTGACTGGACTGCCCCAACCACTCTGGATGGCTTCCAACATATATAAACACATAATAAAACATTAAACATTAAAAAAATTACCCTATATAGGACTGCCTTCAGATGTCTTCTAAAGGTTATATAGATACTTCTTGGCTTGGCTCCATACCCTCCAAAATTTCACCGATGAAAATAGGGACACCCTAAGGAAAAACAGGACATTCTGGGATCAAATCAGAAACCAGGGACAGCTTCTGTAAATCCAGAACTGTCCCTGGAAAATAGGGACACTTGGAGGGTCTGAGGATGTTATAAGCTTTGTATGTAATCTAGTGTTCCTCAGTTGAAGATAAATGCTTATAAGCATTTCCCAAAATTATGTAGAAGAGGGGCAATGCAATGTGGTCCCAGCAGGCAGATGTGGCAGCCTCCTCAGTGATGCTAAGCAGGCCTAGGTATGGCCAGTGCCCAAAACGTCATGAACATTGCTTTTAGCTTGGTTATAAATATAATGAATATAACTAAATTCATAGAAAATGTGTGTGTTATGGTGTGTGCAAGTAACCTGTACAGCACAATGTTCTAGTCTCAGGATTATTCCAAGACACAGTACTGATGAAATAAGAATATAACAGCCAGCTGGATCAAGTCAATGGCCCATTCATTCCAGTATCCTGTTCTCACAGTGGCCAACCAGAAATGTACCTTTATGACTGCCTACAGCTGGCATTAGGTCAACCATTGGCTGACTTCCTGGGGGAAACAAACACAGAGATCAGAGCCATTACACAGGTCATTGCATTAGTTATGGCATACTATTGTGGTGGGCAGGGGACTAACACAGGGATATATTAATGTCAGCAGGATCCTGAGGAAACTATAAATAGGATGCAGCACAAATTAGAGCTGGGAATCCAAAGGGGGGCAGGTACATCGGCCATAAGATTCAGCTTGCACCCGGGGCTTTGGGAAGCAGCCTGTTCTGTTTTGAAGCAGCTCTGTGTCTTTCCCATTAAACTCATTATTTTGGCCTGAATTAGATGTCTTAAAAACAAAGCCATTTCCCTTCAATTCACTGTAATTGGGAATATAAAAATATCTATAACTTTCCTCCCCTTTTCAAGAAATTAGATAAAATTTCCAAGCATGAGAGTCTCTTCAAAGTGGATTAAGCTTGCCAAATTGTAGGCAGGCACATCCAGGGAGTTTAATGTAGGACACCTCTAAAGTTTGATATATATTTTATTTTCTGTCAGATTTGGATGAGATTTGCAGGCACTGTCATCCCTTCTGAGAGTATGAACACTGCTAAATTTCAAAATGATAGCTGAGAAGACTTTACCATTTTGGAGTGGGTCCAATAGGATTTAGGCAGGGGCAGGTATAATATCCCAGGGGGCATTGATGGGGTGTGGACTTCTGCAACCAACCACCCTACACTTCTGGTGATACAGTCTGCTCACTGGAACAAAGATCTTTCTAAGGGCTTGGATAGGGGAATGGGCAGGATTAGTTTTAATATTTATTTCAACATATCCCTTTCCCAAATCACTGTGATTGGAGTGCCCTGGGAAAATAATTAAGTGTAATTAAAAACTAAACCAATGTTTATATGATAAGAATGAAATATTACACTTTCAATGTGCATTTCTAATGGTTTTGTTCTGGACCATCTGCTCTTCCTGCTGCTTAAAATAATATTTTTCAATAGTTCTTCATTATTAACTCTGCCCTGGCCTCCTTTGACTCCTCCCACTTCGTTGTTTCCATCCCTGCAGTCTGCCCTCACCCCCTCCCCTTTAAAACAGCAATTCGTTGTGCTATGGCTCCATGGGACCTACTTTCCCTATGCAATTGTGCATGAGTAAACTTGTTGTCTTTCCACAGAAGAGAAAGCAAACAGAGACACAAAAAACAAGTGGAGGCTCCAGAGGGTTCCTGACATTTAGGAAGGGGGCGCAGAGAGAGATTGTATAAGAGGGCACAGAATGTGAGCAGGAAGTGGGCGAGCTTCTCATCACTAACAGCTACAAACAAAATGTTAAAATAACTGAGGGTTCCTCTCTTCACTGTTCTCCCCCTTGCCCCTCCAGGAGCCACCCTCTGTCAAGAGCACAATCACCCTGAATACTCACTAAAAGTCGCATCTTGAAGGGCCCTGAATCCATCTTTCCTTACATTATGAACATTTCAGATGAAGAGTTAAATCTAAGTTTCTGGGGAAAGTGTACATTTATATTTATTTTATTACAATACTTGCACTTTATGATGAATCTTGTACCGCTTTGAAGAACTAGACTTGTTAAATCAAGAGGGTAGGTAACAAATTATGCGATTAGGAGTGCCATACTAACCAAGTTGAATTCTGCTGTGAAATTCTGCTGGATTTTCATCTAAAAGGCATAATTTCTGCTTTACAGAAAAGCTGGGGGTTTTTTGGCTTTTTAAAAAATGATTTTCAGATGAGCAAAACCTAACTATTACTTTGGCACCTTAAGGAATAGCATCAGCCTCTTTTAAGCAGCAAGGGAATATCAGACCATTTGTTAGTAGACCTGAATAATATTGTCTGTCTCTGCATCCAAGATGTTGTTTGAGCAACATTTTCCATGTGGAGTCTTTATTACAGAAAGTCACAGTTAGTTGATCAGTCGTGATGTGTAATTTGGCATTCTAACATCAAATCATGTTTTACAAAATGTTACTGGGTTTGGTTGCCAAGAATTTTGAGCAACACACATTGTTTCACCACAAATGCTTCCTGATATGATTTATTTATTCCTTGTATTTCTATCTGACTCAAAAGAGAAACCATTGCACAAGTAGAAATAGCAACACACAGTGGCCAGGATCCAAAGAGCTACTTTTGGCTTGCTTAAAGGGCTTGTGCACATGCAGTAGAATGTTTATTTTTGAACATCTTTCCTTTGAACATCTGACTTTACATTATACCACAAACAGTTTTCGAATCTCCTCTTCCTGATCTAAGAAAAGCATCTAGCTATGCAGCAAGTGTGGTTATTGTCGAAGAAAAACAAGAAGTCCTGCCTTCTACTTGGGGCAGACCACTTGTGGTTCTTCTACACTGTGACAACCTGAAGGAGCATCTCCACCCCCACCGTTCATCCCGGACAGTGAGGTCCAGCACCAAGGGCCTTCTGGCGGTTCCCTCACTGCAAGAAGTAAGGTTACAGGGAACCAGGCAGATGGCAGATGTCAAGGAAATAAACAACTCCCTAACTTTTAGAAGATATCTGAAGGCAGCCCTGTATAGGGAAGTTTTTAATGTTTGATGTTTTATCATGTTTTAATATTCTGTTGGGAGCCACCCAGAGTGGCTGGGGAATAAATAATAATACA